AGGGCGTTCTGCACGAAAAGCTCTGAACCCAGGCTGGGGTAGGGCAGGCCAGGGAGGGACACACTCAGCTCGGTTTGAAAATCCCAATTTCCCCTGGCTGAGCAGGGGGAGCGCATCCCGGTGTTGGGGGACTGGCGGAGAAGTGAGAATTTGGGAAAGGAGAAAGGGCTGGGAATTGCCCTTGGCTGACCCAAAACATTTCAACCAGGACTTTTGGCTCGGGTTGTKAGTGGGGGAGCAATCCACATCCCCTTTTTACGTCCAAATCCCCTTTTCACCTCCACAAGGACCAAATTCCACCCCACAGAGGGGATTTGGATGCGTAAATCAGGGGATCCACGCCTTGCTCCATCCCCTCCCTCTCTCCCACCGCAGTGACCCCAGCACTTACTCTGGCCATACTGGCCGTACTGGTAGCCGGCCACRGGGTCCACGCTGTAGCTGGTGGTGCTGTAGGTGGGGGGACAGTAGGACTGGGATGTCGGGAGGCTCTCCACGGATTTGATGGAGTCGCTGCGCTGGCTGCAGCTGGCCGAGATGGAGTTGGTGGTGTCCAGGCCGCCGTGCAGGGGGGAGATGGAGAAATCCGCCTGGGGCTGGGGCGGGACCCCGCTGGGGTTGCTCAGGATGCTCATCACCTGCGGGGACACCGGAGAGACCCGTCAGGGCCAGGGGGAGGGGAAAATGGGCATGAAAATGTGCTTGAAGGGTAGGGGAGAGGAGAAACGGGCATAAAAATAGTGCTTTTGGGATGGGGAAGGAGAAATGGGCACAAAAACGGTGCTTTTGGGATGGGGAAATGGGCACAAAAATGATGCTTTTGGAGCGGGGGGGAGGGGAAATGGGCATGAAAACGGTGATTTGGGATGGGGAAGGGGAAATGGGCATGAAAACGGTGCTTTAAGGGAATGGGGTTGGGGAAATGGGCACAAAACTGGTGCTTTTAGGGTGGTGGGGCACAAAACCAGTGCTTTCAGGGCATGGGGGAGGGAAACGGGCATAAAAATGGTGCTTTCAGGACATGGGCCACAAAAATGGTGTTTTGTGATGTCCAGTGTCTGAACAGGTCTGGCTGAGCTGGAGAGCCAAGCTCGGCTCACATCAAACCCCCCCGGGCAGCCCCACTGCCCCTCCTGGGCTCTTCTTGGGAGCCCTGACCAGGGATCAGGGAGAGGTTCCTCCTCACCCCACTCAA